TGCAATTTTAAAGTATAGCATGAGATGAGTAGATGCAGTATTAAAATATTCCTGACGAAATAATTTGAAGTCCCGTTTAAATCTCCCATTTACAATTTCAATCACCCACCTGCACAAAGTTACACATCTGGACTTGTTGGCAGCAATGGTTGATAATTGTATTTCACCAGCTTGTTTAGATTCAGGCATGTAAGCCTTATAACCACATTGCTGCAAGAATGGAATTGCATCCCTAAAACCTCTATCAAGAATAAATACATCGTTTTCTCTAAAATAGGTTCGCAGTGGACTACTATCGTTGAACAGTCTAAGAATTATAGAAGCATCTGATTCTGTTGCAGGATATGGTCCAAAAACATCAAGGATATAACCATTACAGCACACTATTAAAAATGGCTTAACTAAGTTACGATACTTATGTAAACTATATGTTTGCTTCTGGTATAAGTAATTACTACTTTTTTGCACATAAATGTATGTACCATCACATATTACTATGGCTGGCATAAATTCAGGATCCATATCTGGATTACCAAACAAGCCATTTGGTATTGTCAAGTTATATTGAGCAACTTGTTGAATGCATAAGGTATTTGTCCCTAAATGCAGTTGGATGAATTGCTCTTCAAAGCACTGACTTACAATATTTAAGTGATTGAACACAGTCGATGAAGCTACATTAAATAGAGAAGCTATGCGTTCATTGCTATCACCTGTACGAAGTTTCACTAAGAACATAGCTAGACTTCTTTTAGGTGATTTAACTCTTTCACTGATAGATGGAATTTCAACTAGTAACTGTTCAAATTGGTATTTGGTAAATCCTAACCAATATTTGCATAATATTGAATTATGTTCAATGATATTTAAAATATTATAATTTTGAGTAACACTACTTTTAAGTAAGGAACAAAGGTTGTCTATCTGAGATGCAGTAAAATCTGAACAGTTACTACTCGTGAATAAATTATTCCAATCATTGTGGGGTTCATTTAAATGGTATTCACAAATACGAGCGCACAGTGGCACATAAATGAGTGATCTATCAGCAATCTCTCTTTAAGTAGTTTAGGTATTAAAAATCTAGATGAATGATTACATGACTTAAAAATACAGTGACGGGAAGTAGAAGCAGCACGCTTATAATTAGCCATAGTAATTGTTGATGCCACTCTGGAAATGGCAGGGGTTACAGGTGCAGGTATAGGGGGTGGTTGTGGGATGTTACCGATGTCTTCTATATTCATGGATTGTAGCTCAATATCCCTGTTCTCATTTTGTTGTCTCTGTCTCCATACAGCTCTGGAAGCCCTCAGCCAGCAAGGACTGCATACTCGTTCTAAACGATCCACCTGAAAAAAAGTTATTTTTTATCAACTAACAAAATGAACTATAGTTTTACAATGTCTACTCTAAATATTAATAATATTTATTATTGTTCTATTTATTTCAATCTTTCTAACACTAAATAGTTTTAATGTCTTTTAAAATTATAAATATTAGCATGCAATTGTTTCCCCTCATAATATTTTTGTGGCACTACTTATTTAAATAGAAATAAATAATACATCACATATCAGACAAGAAGTAATTATTTTAGAATTATTAACAATATTTCACTAAGCCCAAGTTCTTTAAAGTTTCAGATAACATTGAATGATTAAATTGAAAAACTGTCATTCTTTACGAGTTGGGGTACTTTCAACTAATTATAAATAATTTTGTAAATCTTAACAAAACAGAAAAGATTTGATCTTGATTCTCTAGGGTGAAATATCGATTCACTAGATCGATTTAGTACTATATATCGATATGACATTGACAGATAAAACGTCAAAAACGTGAGAATATTTAATTAATTAGTTGTTTACCAATATTTTCAAAAAATAAATAAAAATACTTCGATGCTGCTCCGGTAGCAAAACTCGCGTGTAGGTGCTTCAGATAAACTCCCTTGACGCCCCCCACAGTAACAGAATCTTCAAATTGAGGCGACCGAATTGTAAACCCAACCCGTTTTATTTATACTAATGTCTTTTAAGGTAAAAAATATTACTTGTATAATAAGTACAAAAGCATACAAATATGGGTGTAAGATAAGGAAGAAGTATCGTTCATCTAATAACTAAAAATAAAAAAATTGGTTATTAATGGCAAATATCCCCCCATAAGACAATCTATGTTCAGCAGTAGACTTTTGGTAGACTGTAAATTTAAAGATAACCTGTTAGTGAACTGCCATGTTGAATGAGCATAAATATCAGACCAAATTGTATGCAAGGTGTCTGATTTTACAAACATCAATCTGTGTACCAAAGCGATTGTGGCAAATCCTCTGGGCTGCCTATTTGAGGCAGGGGACCATTTACAGCCTTTTAAAATAAGGTAAGTACCTGGTGTGATGGTATCCACTGCAAAATAAAATCTCTTTCTTCAGAGTTAATAGGCACAATCCGTCTACGGTGTGCTCTTAACATTGAAGATCCACATGGAATACAAATATTCCTGTACCCAAATCTTCTAATGGAGTGAGCTGATGCAACACTTTCTTGCAATATTCTTAGGCAGTTACAACAAACTGCATCAAGTGGGTGTAACTGAAAAAATCAGGAATTAAAAATAAAAGAGTAAATAAATATTAAGTTCAGATAAATGTACATTTTGAGGAGGGAAGCGAAGTTGGCATGAAAGTGAATGTTTGATGTGGAACCCTATATTATTTGAAATACAATACATTTTCAATTAAAAAAAATTGGAAATCCAAAAGACAAATATCGATTAATATATTATGATTTTACAATATTTACAGTATTTCAGGTATATCATATAGTGATAAATAAACTTTATAATATTAGAGTATTATGGAGTTGTGTAATATTAGTAATATATGGGGGAGGCCTATGTTCGGCAGTGGAGTTTAATTGGCTGTAACGGTAATATTACAGTGGATTGAAATATTTTTCATTGCACAAAATAACTTACTTTTCTATTTACATAATATTTTATCCTTAGAATAAATATTGACACATATATACCTATACTTTTTCGACTTTGATTTCTGATTGACTGACAAAAGATAATTAGACACACATAACATGTGATACATCATACCATGCCACAAAAACTTCTTTTGTGTATATTGTGTGACTTTATTTTATCTATTATTTAAATTAGATTTCACTAATAACATAAAACTTCAATACTTTAACATTTAACACATTAGTAAGACCTGTGTTTATCATTTGTTAAAGGTTAATTCAGTATAAGTTATAGATTTTACAAAATTCTAGGAGGAAAAAATAAACTTTTATATTACTCACATGGACTTTTACTCGTCAGTTTGCATTTTCGAATGTCATTGGCAAATTATATACATAAATGTGATATAGGTATTTAATATTTGACTTACGTGCATGATATAACCCTTAGGTTAAACATTTTTTGCATCAATTAGACATTAACATACTAATCCACTTGTAAGCAGTAAAACTACGTGAATTTTCATTTTTAAACTTTTACTTTAACACGAACACAGTTTACATCAATTTAAACAAACAAGTTTATGCCATATTATATTTTTACAGTCAATGCCAGTCAATGGAGTCAATGCAAAGAACTATGCCTGTAAGTTGGTAAATAGCAGGAAAGAATGCAGTGTCATCTTGTGTCAAAATATAAAATAATTCAATCAATATAATATATCATTTATCAATTTAATATAACGAAAGATTAAAATTATAGCTATAGAAGGTATGAATTTATTAATAATATGAAGGGATATTTATTATTACTTTTAAAAACTTAAAATAATTAAGTACTTAATCATGTATAGATCGTTATGTGTGCCTGGAGTCTGTGGATCGTTTTCTTTCGTATTATTTCTAAAAAAATCGTACCATATCCCATATTATTCAACAAAAATAAAAATATTAAGTAATACATTAATAAAGAAAATATATAATTTTCGTTTCCGCAGTATAGTAATATTGTTGGAATAAAATCGAGAGTAACAAAAATAATATATATTTCTCATAAAAGTTTAAATCTAGATAATATGTAAGTAGATAGATTGTATAGTGCAGTGATTAGCTTTCCATGAGATAATATTATACCTACCTCATGAGAAATCCACACAGATAAAAGTTGGCGCACATCAGCAGTTGTCTCGGCCAGTAATTGTCTTCGCACACTGCGTTGAAACCTGACTCCACAATTGCAACATACACTTCTATTTTCATTGTATGCTGATCTAGCAGATTCCATTTTCTTAAAATCGCATATAAATACAAAAAAACAGTAGCGTAACGAACGTCAATGCCGTTAAGATTAAAGACGTAGGTAATACCCCGCCGCCCCGCCCCGCCGTACCCGGCCGCCGGCCGCTGGGAATTACCGGAAGTCAATGATAAAATAACGTTTTGGTTCACAGTCATTTAGAACTATGTTATAACGTGATATTAGCTAAAATTTTTAGAAATTAAACATAAAGTTCTTAGTGGTATCTTTTTTTAAGTCAGCTTTGTGAAAAAATAGTTTTCTTTTTATACAAGCTGCAAAATGACTAATTAGGTACACGCATTTTACCCATATTACACTAATCAGAACACGAATATCAAAACAACTAATTTTTTTTTCGTATTTCTTGATTCCGTTTACATTTTCGAAAAATCTGTAGGCCATTTACTATTATAATTTGGTGTCTTTTTTTTGATGTAATACCATTAGTGGACGTTAATATTTTTAGTGGGCCCAAAAATGATTGTCCCCTTTAATGGAATCGTCGTTGAACAGAGTTTCTACGTTAGGAGAGATTTTTTGCAAAACCTCACGATGATCGAATCAGGAATCTGTCGCAGTAATGAACCTCTGCGTAAGATAAAAAGATCCGCTCGTCTACCACAAACTTTTTGAAACAAATCTTCAGTTACTCTGCTATATGGTGACTCCTTAAAAAATAGGAAGAATTGGAGTCAATGTCTATTGAGAATCACCGGCCCTCTCTACTCATCTACTAGTGCTTGTAATGCTCTTTGTAATTCCTCTTTTTGGCAAAGTAAGGCTTTAATTGATCCGGCGAAGGAACGTTCTAGCAAATAAGAACGAGGATCATCACGCAACATTGCAGATTCAAATCGTTTTAGCGAATCATTTACAGCAAGTTCGACAAAACCGGGTGTAAATAAATATTTCTTCTGGGCATCAAAACGTACAGTATACCAATCATCACAATTAAAACGCTGTAATTCTACTAATTTCTTTAAATGTATTTCATTTGCACGTGAATAAATAGGATCTTTTATCGTGGTACACAAGTCTGATAGCTTGAGCTGGTTTATTTTGTCACAGACTTCTGTTATAGGTCGGTGCAAGTTAATATTAAGTGAAGGGACTATTTTTTGATTTTGGCATGTAACTTCACTAGATTTTGTAATAATATTAGTTAAAAAGGCCACTTGCTGGGATAAAAATTCAAAATGTTCATTACACACGGTTTGATCCATTTTTCTTTTCTTGAGTCTCCTTGTTTGACTGCAAGCACAGTTTTCTGACGAATCGCTGCTATCCGAACCCGATGATGAAGTACGCATACGTTTTTGAGAATTTAATAATGTAACTTCGTCGACACTTTGTTCCTCCATATTTTATCAGTAGGGTAGTTATTTATCACTTAGTTTTAGTAAAATTGAAACTTTTTCGTGCTTACAAAGGCTGACTTGTGAAAGGCGCGAAAAACAACGCTATAATGACGAGACCTGGTGCTCATCGCTACTTAAATAACAAAGCAAAAACAGTGGTGGGGTGCCCCCTCCATGCAGGTAAGGTAGCCGGAAGTGCTGACTTTAGGCGGAAAGACAAGTGCTTTACTCAAGATGGATTCCGGATATTGATACATAACAAATAATAATTATTGTATGTATGAATCGCTCACGCAAGCTAAATAAAACTTTATCCCTTCGCGCGAGTGTCCTTTATAAATATTACTTTGCATCTTTTTCCCTCCCTAAGTCACGGCGGACTTTCCGTGGTTATTAAGGGATGTCAATAGAAAGTAAAAAATACATTACGAAATGTTAATTAAGTTACTTAGGTGAAGTACCTATTCTGACTATGATCGACTGACCATATTTTCGCTCCTATGTGAGTTCTGTGATGCCTAACGCATGCAAATTGCAAGGACATTCGTCGGTAATTGCGATGCTAGGTTCGGAAGAAATAGGTAGATACTGTAAACAACAAATAAACTTGTAATATGATTCCCAACAGAAATGTGATTTATTCTACTTAGTTAAAAACCTTGTTGGTACATAAAGTTTTAATTTCAGTATTTGGTGTTATTATAATTATAACTTAAAATATTTTAATTACAAATAACAGGTATAGGTATGTAAGTAGATACTTGGATAGTAAAGTAAATTTTAACTAATTTTTGTAATAAAGTACTTAGGTATTTCTTCTGTAGATCAAATTATTACTTAATTCTTTTTTTGCTAGTCCTACCTATCTAACAAAAAAAAAATCACCTTTCATAACTTCCTTCTAAAATCCTTTGGTAACTTAAAGAATGATTCTTTTGTTGGTCATTTAGTATCCATCCACGGAACACTTAGGTATAGTAGGAACTACGTTTTGCCATTATAATTTATCAAATAGGTAATATAAATAATATATAATTTTTAAATTACATTTAAACTTTTACAACTATTTTAATATTAAATATATATATATATATATATATATATATATATATATATATATATATATAATTTAATTTAATTTATATTTAATATAATATTATATTAAATATAAATTAAATATACTAAACACTAAACGAAAACTATTTCAACAAGTATTTACATAAAACTATTTACGTAAAGAGCGTTAAAAAACTTTAACATGCAATCGCCTACAACGCGCTAGCCCCGCCTGCGTATTACACCGTCGGTGACTCGCGATTTTAGGTAATTATTTCACGCAGGTAGCAAAAGTGACAGAGGCCTGGTGAGGGTTCGAAACATTTGATATTGCGATTGACAACCAGCATGCCAAGCCTGACGATAAAGGCCAATCCTTTCTACAACGGGAAATCCTTATGTACAGCAGTGGAATTTAATGGCTGGTGATTATGATGAAAAACTCACAACTGACTTTTTTGGTCTGACCCGGGTTCCGAACTCGTTTAGTCCACAAGTCAGTTTAGTTTAGTCAACTTCTTCGGTCAGAAGTATATACAGTGTAGCATATGAGTAGAAATATTTATAATGATCTTTATGATGATCAGATATAAAGATTATGTAGAACTTTACTAACCTCGGAGAGACTATTAAGCGAGCTTATGTCAATCCAATCATCGTCAGATGGATGGGGTTCCTTATTTTTTGCTTTTAGCACTGTTCTTTGGTAACTTGTTACACCACTAATGCATGTGTGCATTGACATTGTATCCATGAAACGCACACCTAGAAAAAATTAAAGTTAAAGCAAATAGCTCTTACAGCTTGACCACAAGGACTGGTTTTTGGGTAGAAGTGCGGCAAGATAAGGCGAAAAAGCCGCTGCACTTTGCTATCGCCTAGATAACTTCTGCAGCTGTAATTCAACCGTAATTTCTAAGACTGAACGGCTGAGTCGACAAGAGATACTCTAGAATAAATTTTATCGACCAAATTATCGATATATTGAAGATGGGCCAAATTTAAAGTACCCTTAACCGACAAGCATGTATACGTAGGTATATGGATGTAAAGAAGGCGGGAGATGTGTCAGAATCATGCCAAATGGAAGTCCGTAGTCACTGCCTACCCCTCTGGGTGACATGCATGAGTATACGTTTTTTTTTTCTAAGACTGAAGTTTATAGGAGTAAGAAATACAAATAGGTTTGCCAGACATAGGTAAAGAGCTACAGTTAGAAGTTAAAAGTAAACCAAATATTTATGTGGTAAAAATATGCACCATGTTGCAGCTGTATAACACGCACAAAATGCTATGAAAAAGTAGCACATAGCTCCTGTGTTTCATATGAGGCAACCCATCATAGTCATCAGAGGTGATAACGTATCTGTATTTTGAATCTAAATTAAGGTGTAAGTCCCTATAAGCCACGGCATCCATTTGCCAGCACAACCCTCGTATTCAAGCTGTACTGTACTGCTTGAACTGACAGTAACATAGAGAATGTTGAAACATGACAACCAAGCTGCAGTTATATTATGGTTGTAGCAGGAATGGATCGGCTGAACCGAGGAAGGACCACGCTCTTACAGAATACTAATGTAAAATGGCAGTTTAATGCTGCTGTGTATTGTATGGTGAGTGTAGAGAACCAGAGACCCTTTTTACTGGAAACGAGACATTCTATCTTAGTCCTCAGGGGTGACAACGCATCTGCATTTTGATTCTTAATCGAGGATAAATGTAGGTGTCTATGGGCTACACAATCCACTTAACATGAGGTGGTCCATGTGCTTGTTTGTAAATTTATTCTATTAAAAAAATAGAGGAAGGAACTACCTGTCCTATTCAACCAATACTGCTCTTTAATCTTAGACCTATCATATGATACATTATGACCTACTACAATTCTAGGCCTATTAATTTCACTACTTATTTCTTTTCCATCAGTCTCTAACGGGATCAAGTCGTCATAGTTGACATTTTCAAAGTATTCATGTGGGTCCCCATTTGCAACAGGTTTGCTCACCCATCCATACCTGGAATGTAAAACACCATCATGTTAAAATATTAGATTAGAACATACCTAAAATTAGAAATAAGATAATGAATACTACACTATCTTTCGTTTAAAGTTTGTTATTGATAATAATATAACAAATGTTAAGCCGGGTTTATATTTGTCTGATGTGATGTGTAGTGACAGGCTCTGACGTGATGGCTAACTTTCACACCTGTACGTCGTATACTACCTCTGATGATATTTTAAATCAATATAGTCGTAGCTGTGGAGTTCAGAAGTTCCCAATGTTTTTCCATGAATCATAGGACTGATTCAGATTATGAAGAAAATATTGAATTTTTGGTGCTGGCAATACTACTAAAAAAGAGAGAAAGAGAACATTTAAATTCAAAAAGTACTTATATTTTATATGGAGACAAAGACACATGCCGTTCTGACGCGTCACAACTGAACACTGACGCGTGCACTCTTGTCTAATGTGATGATGTGTCGTCCCCCGCTCCAACACTTCCACCCCTCTGATGCGATCGGAATCTCTTCTGTTGCGTCGCATCAAAAGTCATCACAACATATCACAACATGCAAATAAATGTATCAAACCTCCATAGTAAATGTATCAAACCGATACTGTTATGATGCATCACAACACAACACATCAGAGAAATGAAAATCGGGCTTTAATATTTTGAAGGCCCATGGGTATTGCAATTTACTTATAATGGAAAATTGCTTCAAGAAGGATCAATCCAACTCCCTAAGCTAGTTTTATGGTGATTCAATATTTCATGATGATTTTCTGAGAATTGAAATTCATAAAAAATATGCAACGTAAATATATATCTATTACTGTTTGTTAATGTCAAACTACTGTTTGTTTCTACGTGTGTAATAAGCATAAGGTAACACATATTACGGACGTCATTTACCTACCTGTATAAAAACCAACTGGCCTTATTCACTAACTTATAGTTGACATCAAATTAATAGTCACTTTGTAGTACATTGTGTCGTTAGTTTTATGTGCCGTGGTAGGTTATATAGAAAAGCTACATAGATTATGCAATAACTTCAATTCAACTATCATTTTGTTGTTAACAAAGTTAGCGAATAGGCCCGCTCTGTTCAATCAGTAAAATACAAGAGTCATCCATTTTCATTAAAGCCCATAATAGTCCACTGGTGAACATAGGCCTCCCTGAAAGAGATTTCCTGAATTTTGCCATAATTACCATCACGAGCAACCCATGCCACACAAAGTGGAATCTAAAGGTGGTCTGTGATTTAATATTTATCAGGTATGTTTAAGTACTATCTATTATTGTGAAGTTCGCCAGCATGCATTGGGGCAGTGCGGCGGACACTTCCTTGTCCTAACATACTTAAACGTTATATAGCTGTAACTTTACTTTTTACTTTATGGTTAAATAGTTTGGTTTTAGGACTCAACTTTTTCGTTTGCTTAAAGAAAAATTTATACTTTAGTATTAAATCAAATGAATATTTAAGACAAACTACTTTATGGTCAGGCTAAAAAAAGCTACGGAGATCACACAGAAGACAGAACAGTTTATATGGAGTTGTTATGCTGGAGCTCTTAATACTTGTCTTCCACAATATTTATTATACATTATTTACTGCGATAACTTAACTTTGCTTGCTGCATATCACAGTGAACTCATTCAGCAACTGACACCATGATAGTACTGCAATCCGGCATGGTTATACCAAAATCTTCATGAAATCTCATGAATCGAAATCTCATGAATCAAAATCTTATGAATATGCACTTTAATTTTAATTATCTCAGTAATTATTTATAATAAAAAAATATTATAATACAGTAATTACTGTTATTTTTGTAGATTTTTTAAAAATATTTTGAACAATAATTAATTGCTTGTGGAAGATGGATACTCTTGTGCCGCTATGTGACAAATTATTATCATATTATGGAGTATCATCACTGTAAAAATATATCTTAATTCATTTTTTTTTTAAATTTTGCGTACCATGCCTCTGCAGAAGCTGCACAGGCCAAAGTAGGCCTTTTGCCTGAAGACATAAGAACCTCCACATCAAATATCAATGCACTATCAGGTGGATATGGAACGGGCTCTGGTGGACCATTGCTAGTGTATTTGCACCAACCATGCATCCTTGACCAATTCTGTAGAAAATTACATAAAACAATTAGAACAATAATATAGAAGCTGTTGTTGAATAAAATATGAAATTTTATTACATTATTTTAAAATATTTTAATAGTAATTTTTTTTTTCGTAAATCTTCCTTAAAAGTGAAACATGAAATGACTTTGGTACCAAGGTAGTTCCAAGAGAGTTAATTCAAGAGTTGCAAGAGGGATAAGATTGTGAGGTGAGGAAAACAGTTTGTCTAGAAAACTAAAAATATTTTAAAGATGTCTAAAGTCTGCTAAATACACATTACAACAATAAATCAGAATTTTTAACACACAAAAGCAATTAATAAAAACAATTAATAAATTAATTGGTGGCTATGGCATAGAACACTAATTACAAAGGTGGCAAATATTTTAGTATTTTTTTAAATATAATTTTATAAAGGTTCTTAATTACCTTTGGTAATGGAGGCAGTGTAGACATAGATAACTTACTTAACAAATTTCTATAAGGAGCACTTTGTCTTTCACCAATATTGTAAAAATGATCTACAACATCACTTCCTTGCAACTGTGGTAATTTTAACTCAACATCTGGTAAATTACTCAAATCTTTGTAATTAATTCCATGCTTAAGCAGATTATCTTGGCAGCTAAAATAATGTGATAATTTTTAAGGTCAATGCACTCTGTTAAATTGAGTTATTTACTATTTTATGTATGATGTATACAGGATAAGTATATTTCTTATATCTCAGAAGCCCTTAATTCATTGCTCATTCTCATGTATTTCTTATATCCAGTTTCCCATAATCACCTCTTACCACACCCACAGAAGTAATGAAATTACTTAAAGATCTTCTACATGGCAAATAGCATATCAGACATAAAACACCATACCATTGACTAGCAGCATTATCAAATATACAAGTCTGGCAATTGTCAGTCCGTTTGCTAAAAATCATGGTCAAGGCAAATCCTCTTCCCAGTTACTCGACTCCACAGAGTCAGTAACTCCTTTAAAGTCCCAGAAAATGTGCAGGCCATAGTAGTCAAAAAGTTTTTATTAAGCAAAAATTATTTAGTATGGCCTGGTTTACATTTTGAGAAGTGACAAGTGCAAGTGGCAAGTGGAACTGACAAATGACATGTGCTCAGTGCGTATTTTATTCCCACTTATCACTTGTCACTACCTGTTCACAGGTACTAAGCACTTGTCATTTGTCAGTTGCACTTGCCACTCGCACTTGTCACTTCTCAAAATGTAATGTTGATATTATTAATATACCATTATACTACTAAAGATTACATGATTGATGCCCGGTTTACACGGGCTTTGTAGCTAAGTGTGTAGTACTTGTCACTATACTAAGCCTCAATATGACAAGTGAAAAGTAACCGTTTACACATTGGAGCCAGTAAATGTTATTAGTAACCGGACATTCGAAATGGAGCGACACCGCCTGATTTTGCGCAGTGTGTTTAAGCAATATTCAAACATTATTATTTCAAGCATGATCGAGATCTTTTCAACGATTTTCTGATAAGCAGCATCTTTTGCGAGTTTATTTTTATATAAAACCGATTTGTGGTTCCATAAACATTCATAGGATTTAAATTCCTGAATGAACTTCATTGTTGTTTCCGAATTCCACCTTTCCGCAGCCATGATCACATAAGTAAACACGTGTTTTCACTTCCCGGTACACAACTTGTCACTAACTAACTTGTCAAGCTGTTCACACACAGTCAGCAAGCGACAAATGCTTAGTAAATTGTGGTGGGGATATCGACTTGTTGCTTAGTAAATAGTATCGTTTTCTATTCACTTGCACTATTCACAAATACTAATACTAAGCACTAATCAGTGTGTTTACACATGAGGACTTAGTATTAGTGACAAGTACTAAGCGCTTAGCTACGAAACCCGTGTAAACCGCCCATGATAACAACCCCTTTTTTTTTTGCGGATGGAAAATCATCTAATGACGCCTTTCGCTCTGGGTGGAGCGTAAGGGAGTGTCAGACTTTTACTGACTAAAAACCATCCGTGTTTCTTCAGTGCCCTTACGTTCCGGAGCCGCGGTATCTCTTTCGAACAGCCCGCAGCCCCGGCAGGCGTCGGCCCTTGCGGGCCCCTTCACGATGATAACAACCCCTGGGAGTGAGGTATTTTTTTTATGATCGCTTTATTATGATCGCTACCATGATGTTTTCAAATGTTTTATTAACTATTATATAAACATTATATTGTAAGTAATGCTTATTTAAAAAAAAAGTCCCACTGAGTTTCTTGCTGGTTATTCACAAGGCAGAGGTTTTTTTTCCAAACGAGCGGTGAAAGTAAGAAATTGACTCAATAAGAATCACGTGTAATAAATATTGAATAAAATTGATTCTATTCCTCCCTATAACATGAGAGGCCCATGTCCAGATTATCAGCTGTGCTGTGCTGTACAGTGTGTATTACGAGTCGATAAAGAAGAAAGAATGTTTACGAGATAATCCAGCTCTAAGCACCAGACTGACTTTTTTAATGTTATAACTTTTATGACATCTGCACTTAAAACCAAGAATTATCGAAAATACCATATATACAAGAACTTTTATAATTTTATCAACGTATTGTAAAATTGTAATCTTACTAATGAGTATTTTAGCTAAGACCGTAACCAGTTGTAAAACAGTATAATACGATAAAATCCCAAAAATACCTTTTGATTACATCAGGATCTAATACTTTTGGAGAATTCTTGAAAAGTTGCTTGTAAATATTTTTTGAGATCATTTGTATATTAACATCGTTAACTCTAAATTCGTCAGAAGTATTCTTCTCTTTTGATTCAATCGGCACTTCTTGTTTTTTAAGGTTATTATTACTTTTACGTTTAATTATTATTATTTTACTCGCAGGTAATATATCGCAATAACATCTCGAATAAACTTTTATACTTCTATTTAGATTTTTAAACAATAAAACTATACTTGCAGCATCCATATCCACATTCATGAATTTGAATTCATGTTTTCAAAACAAAAACAACAATGCGAAAGACAGGTGTCTTCTGTCTACGAGGCGAGGTGATGTGTGACAGTGACAGACACTAGGCAAGAGACCGATATATCAAAACGTAACTAATAACGTTATGTTATCAAAAGATCATATCATATCCATACACCCAAGTACATAATTGTTCACATATCCAACTAAAACCAAGAAACCAAAACGTAGGAAAGTCATGAAACGTAAGACGCAAAATGGAGCGATATGCCAACACGACCCACGAACTAACTGATGTCCTTCGTTGATATTCGTTGTTTCTCGTTCTTGCGACTATAAATACGTATAGAAAAAGATGAAGCGAATACGGATTTCGTTGCGATGGTTTGGTAGTTTTCACACACGGTGCAGATTGGACATACTTAATATAATTACCTAGAGCAATAAGGTCGAATTTTAAATGGTTAAAATTGCCAAATTTTTAAGTTTGTGTGAGAGTTGTCAAATTTAAATGATCTTTAGTTAAATAGACACAAGACTTGGGTTTCTACGACCATATTATGTTTGGTTTAGGCAACTTTATGTTTTTTTTTTGTTTTGGATGGAAAGTTTAGAATTTGATTTTATTTCAAAACACAATGATTACGCACTTGGCTTTGGTGGCCATGTCGTTCGTTAAGATAAATAATATCTATAAAATTATTAATTTTTGACGTCGCGTTTGTGCATTTATTTGCAATATTTGTGTGCATTTTGTTCATTAGTTCTAATTCAGACAATTATGTGTAAAGTGAAAATATAGTATAGTATAGGTTATAAGTTAATTTTCATTTTATAATATATGTATATAATTTATTGTACCATGTAGTGACGGTGTAAGAATATTCACTACTCCATCTCATCCCGTGGGTGTCGTGAAAGGCGACAGGAGAAAACAAATCAGGAGATAAGCAGCGAAGTCTTCCTAATAAATACTAAAAACAGTGTGTATCTAAAAGGAACACGACAGAAATAATATTTTTTTTTTATTACAGGTACACATTTCAATTATTGATCAATGACTTTTGAATAGCATAGATTGTGTATATCTAGTAGTATATTTATTTACATAAAATTATATACATATGTGTCACAGTGCATCATCTTCTTCGATCTTAAAAAAGAGATAATGTTTCATTTGGTTTGTTAGTTAGGTAATTGTCGATTATTTATGTACCGTAAAACGTGGCAAGTTTGCCCAAGCAGTGTAACTTTGCCCATTAGGAAATTTTCCAACAAACCGAAAAAATATCTATAATATTTAGTTAGTTAGCCGTTATTTAATCTGTGGTACAAAATTCAACTTATTCCTGGCAACACTAACACTCGAACTGTCATTTACTTGAATTTAGTGCAGGGGGGGGTACACTTCCATATTTAGGTTGGGGTTCAATGATTTGCAAAGACACTAGTGCCATCTTGTACTATATCCGCATAAACTTTCGAACATTAAATTCTAAAAGGTACGCTAGATGGCAACTACACCAATTCTGGTTATTCTCGAACTGGCAAGTAGCAACTTTACTTTATATGACAATGGCTACCGGCGTCTGAGCAAGTTGTTGTTTTATTATAGTTTATAAGTGATTTTCGGTTGTTGTTACAATAAGTTTGGTTGAGTTGGGATTAGCCCTCTGTTTCTTGTTGTCTGTTTAGATTTTCATGCTGGAACCACATTGTATGTTTGTGTAGTGTTGTGCGAAATAGACGCTTTCATTTATCAATCCAGTATCCTGGTGGACATATTTAATTTGGTTTGGTGTTGTATTTTGCGGAATAGACGCTTTTACATCTTGTGTGTTAAATATATATAACAAAAAGAAATGTTAATATTACTGACATCTATAATATGTCTTCAATTGAACCCTAATCCCTTAAATTATAAATATAATCGCCTATAGTATAGATTGCTGTATATACTATATACATAACTATAAAATTACTCTACTCTATGATTTAGTGACTTGTCACTTGCTACATATTTATTTGTATCCTTTATTTATAGAGTAATAAGATTTTTTTTGTAAATTTGAATGTTTTCGATTTGGAAGATTATGTTTACTTTATTTATACTATGACTTGTCAGTCGTTGTCAAAGTTAGTGGTGTTTTCGGCGGGCGAAATTCTGTGTGAAAACTTCAATAAAAAGTCGAAGTTGCAGTTGCAGCAGGTAAGTAGTGTTTTAAATATTGTAAATATACTAAAAATAAATACGAAAGATGGTTAATAAACGGCGAAATGTTTCTGCAAATGATAAATATGGCGGTGGGCAAAGTTACCTTAGCGTTGTCTCACTACACCTCTTGGCAACTTTGCCCACCAAAATTCTAACATCAGGGTTGTCAATTTTGTGTTTCTGCATTTTTTTTTAAGTTTACCTAATTAATATATTTGTAATAATTTGTTAAGCTTTTTAAACGCAGTTATGTGAGTTACGTAATACGTTAAACTTTGATATTTTATTTTTACGTTGTTGTATTTAGGCACTAATGTTACGCACAAAAAAGTATGGTCACAGAATAGGGGATTTTCTATAAATATTTATTATAAATAAATGATATTTGCGATGACAATGTGACATCACTTTCACACAAAAAAGCATGTTTATGCTTTTTTTTATTATTTGAAATTCAAAACCGCGATATCGATTTTTTTTCGAGCATATAATAAAAAAAATACCTTTTTTTGTAGAAAAAAGTTGTCATCGCAAAGAGGCGATGTAAGTACCCTAGTAAACAACAATAGAAGTATTTTTTCTGCTCTCCCAGATCAATTAGTATTTTCTACAATTAATTATTTTAACGACATCAATACTTACCTAAGTAACCATTTTACTAAGATTTTTTTCTGAACTAAGCTACCTACCAGAAAATCCCCTATAAAAAGTTATACATATTATAATCTGCTTACATAACTTAGTAACTTTATAATTCGTATATTTATATGCTGAAACACTGAATGACATGTCGTTATATACAACTTGTTAATGAATAAGCGCACAACCTTTTATGTGATGATTGTGATCATGATATGAACAACTTTTACTATGGGCCGACTCTGCAACTAAAAAAAAATCAACTGTTTCATACAAATTGTCAATACATAGGTACTAGACCAGAATGTATGAAATAGCAGATTTTTTCATAGAGGACGTATACTTATTCCTTAACACGCTTTGTATGTGTTTCCATTTTTCCTATGTCTTTGTGAAAGTTTATTTCATGAGTGTAAAAGTTAGATAAAGCAACATGTATAATGTTTTTTGTTTTCAGAATGAACATGGAGACTCGATCGCGAAAGAAAAGAAATAGAAGAAAACTGGGATCTCGACGATACAGAGATTATTCGACAGAGATGTTAGAAGTTGCCGTTGAAATGTTAGAAAAAAAAATTAATTTCCAGTAGGGATGCCGAAAAGCAGTTCGGCATTCCACGTCGAACTTTATTAAATAAAATGAAAAAGATGCATATGAACTCCACGGGGAGAAAAAAGAAATTAACGGACGAAGAGGAGGAAAAGTTAGTCGGTGTACTAATTGCTGCCGCAAACTTTGGTAGTCCAATGACTAAATTGGATTTAAAGTTACTAGTTCATAAATATTTACAAAAGAATTCCTGAGCGGATTTATTTAATAATAAAATGCCTGGTGATGCTTGGGTAGAAATTTTTTTAATGAGGCACTCTTCTAAATTGTCCTTTCGTACAACCCAAAATATAAAACAAGTCCGAGCCGAAAAAAGCTTGGAAGAAATGGAAGTTTACTTTGACAATTTGAAAGAAACCCTTAACGGTGTACCACCTTCAAACATTTTGAACTACGATGAAACCAACTTGGCAGACAATCCAGGCACTGCCAGGTGCATTTTTAGACGAGGGGTCAAATACCCAGAGCGGGTACTTAATAGCTCTAAGAGTTGCATATCTATTAAGTTTACGGTATGTGCAGATGGGACCTGTCTTCCAACTTACGTTGTCTACAAAGCCACACAATTTATATTCTGAATGGGTGGAGGGAGGCCTTGTGGGACACGATATAATTGCACCAAATCTGGTTGGTTCGATTCTGATGCCTTCGAGGATTATTTTAAAACAATAATAGTTCAATGGGCGAAGAAAATATCAGGCCCAAAAGTCGTCATTGGCGACAATTTGTCGAGTCACATAAATATTGAAGTCGTGGAGTTGTGTCAACAACATGATATCCGATTGGTATTTTTAGCACCAAATTCCACTCATCTGACCCAACCTCTGGATGTTTCGTTTTTTGGTCCACTGAAAAGGGAGTGGAGAAGAATTCTACTTGAATATAAAGTCAAGAATCCTGGTCAAACTACACTCAATAAAAAACATTTTCCTAAATTGCTGGCGGATAAGTCGCTCGCGTCCGTAGGCTTTGACCACCTGTTCCTAGGCCCACCCTACACCTGTCCCCCGGGTGGTGCTAAATGAGCGACAAGCCGATACCACAGACTCGGCTCCACGCCGTGGTAGCGGCGTTAAATATACCACCCCATTTCGCACCATGAGGAATCGAATTAAAGAAATGGCCCTTTAATGGGCCAGGGGTGCGAAGAATATCCGGGAGGAAAACTGGTGACGAGGTTCGCCACCCGTCACGTTCTGTCTCTCGGAGAGGTGAAAAGTGGATTGCAGAGGCCCGTCTGGCTACGTTGAATGTATTTGGGGCAATGAATGATAAAATGGATGAAGTATGCGATATGATGTATAATAGAGGAATAGAGGTGTTATGCGTAAATGAGACGAAAAGGAAGGAGAAGGATGTCACTACACATGGCATGTATACCGCATACTGGTCTGGTGTAGACGAGATTGAGCGGGCATGCCAGGGAGTAGGTATCATCCTTTCAGAAAGAATGGGCCAATGTGTGAAAGAGTATGAATGTGTAAGCCCAAGACTGCTATGGATACGAATGAAAGTGGGCTTAAAGAAGTTGTTTGTGTTAGGGGTCTACGCCCCAGACATATCTAAGCCCACTTATATCCGAGAGCAGTTTTGGGAAATGGTAAGGATGGTGTTAATGAAGTGTAAGGGAAATGAAAATATTATTATGCTAGGAGATTTTAATGGAAGGGTTGGGGTCAGGAGGCTTGGTTATGAAAGGATATTGGGAACGTTTGGTGATGAAAGTATAAATGAGAATGGTGCAAGTCTCCTCACCGTATGTATGGAAAAGAATCTTTTTGTGACGAACACTTGCTTTCGCCACAAGAGGATTCGCATGTATACTTGGGAAAGAGGTGACGATAGAAGCATGATAGATTTCATAATTGTGGATGAAAGATTGAGGGGCGCAGTGGTAGATACGAGAGTTTACCGGGGTTCTAACCATGTTTAAAATCTACCACAGCGTTACATCGTATTAGAACAGAAAGGTTACAAGATGAAAGTGATAAAAACAAGTTCAAATGTAGTAGTAGTAGTAGTAGTTTCTGGCCAAAAACCAAAAGGTTTTTTGTGCGTTCATGGACTTGGAAAAGGCCTATGACAGAGTGGATAGGGATTTACTATGGCAAACACTGAACTCATTTGGGTTGAGCGCTGGCTTGATACAGGCATTGGAGTCTCTTTATAGGGACTCTAGTGCTTGTGTTAGGATCAACGGGGTCTACTCGGACTGGTTTGACATCCATAAAGGTGTGAGACAGGGCTGTGTGGCTTCCCCGTGGCTGTTCAACTTGTTTATGGACAGTTGTTTGCAAAATTTGAAAGTTGAAGAATGCGGATTAAGAATGGGTGAGTTAACCGTCAAATGCCTTTTGTACGCCGATGATCAAGTTATTCTTGCGTCGTCGGCGGCCGAGTTGCAAATGATGGTTACATTAATGAACAGATCATTAAAAGAAAGGCGTATGAAAGTGAACGCAAGTAAGACGAAGGTTATGGTTTTTGAAAGAGAAGAAAGTAAAACGATTTGTGAAATAAGAATAGAAGAGGGGAGTTGATCGAGCAAGTAGATGAGATAGTATAATTGGGCTGCGTATTTAGCAGGGATGGGAGATATGATAAGCATATAGAACGACGAGTGAATGCGGGAAATAGAGTAAATGGGGCCTTGCACTCTATTGTGAAGAGTCAAAATGTGTCGAAAAAGGCACGTATGGCAATTCACAATGCTGTGTTGGTCCCTACTTTAACGTATGGTAGTGAAAGTTGGGTGTGGCAGAAGAAGCACGAGAGTAGAATAAACGCAGTAGAAATGCGGTCGTTAAGGAGTATGTTAGGGCTGAATCTGAATGACAGGGTAAGAAATTGTGTAATAAGAGAAGAGTGTGGTTTGCAAGATGATGTTGTGACCAGGATTAAGAAAGGAATGCTTCGGTGGTTTGGTCATGTGGAAAGAATGAATGAGGAAAGAGTGACAAAAAAAATTATGGTGCAGAAGTGAATGGCAGAGTCGGAAAGGGACGTCCTAGGCGAAAATTTATCGACCAAATTGGCGATTTATTGAAAACGGGCCAAATTAGGAGTACCCTTAACCGACGAGCATGTATGCGTAGGTGTATGGATGTGAAGGAGGCAAGAGAGGTGTGTCAGGATCGTGCCAAATGGAAGTCTGTAGTCTCTGCCTACCCCTCTGGGTGACAGACGTGAGTGTTTATGTGATGCTGGCGGAATTAATTGAAAACATAAAGCTGAGGGAAACAAAAAAATATTAAAAGCGGCTTCAGAGCCACAGGTATTTGGCCTCTCAATCCAATCAATGTTACTAAGAGAATACCAGAACTATATGACGAAGTGAAATATGGAATAGACAATGCTTTACTAGAGTATTTGAAAGAAACAAGATCCCCAAATTCAATGACAGTGAAAAGAAGCAAAAAAAATTGAAAACAGAACCAGGATAGTTAGTCTGCGTGGAAGATATTTCTATAAAAGCCAATAATACAAAGAAAACAAATGCGACAAATAAGAATAAAAAAAAACATATTAATACGGAAGAAGACATTGTGATACCGATGTTGAATGAAAACACAGAAGAAAAGATAGAGACAGACGAAGAAATAGAGACGTATATATTACATGAAGAAACATGGCAGATAGTAAAAAAGAATCCCAAAAAATCACGTGTAAGTCTTGTAAGTTCCGCAGTTACACAAAATGATTCTCCATCGACATCAACTGAAAATGACAGTAGAAATGAATTGGTAGTGCCATTATCGTTATCATATGTTCCAAATAGTCTAAAAGCAATTTGTATTGATATGATCAATAATTACATACATTCATTAGTCCAAGATATTGGTTCGGAATCGCCAGATCTATGCATTTTTGGTGAAAATTTGAGAAGTTGCGAAGAAAATTTATCGTTTATAGCACATGATGAAAAAGATTTATCTGTTTGTTTACAAACACAAAATCTACTTTGGAAAATTTCTCCAAGTGGGGTAAAATTGACTGCAAACAGTTCTCCTAAAAATTAGTTATAACCTCCGATGTAAAAGTGACTTCAACTGCTGGGATAACCTCAACTAGGAAGAAAGAACATATCAAGAAAAAAATTTGGGTGCTGAAACAATTCAAGACTCTGCACTACATATGAAGTTATATCCTAAGCCAAAAAAAAACAAATGCCAAACAAGACAATATTCTAAAAGAAATAGAAATAAATAACGTTCAACCAAAAACATCAAAAAAAAATACAAAACAGAAAACGTAAATCTAAGAAAAAGAAGAGAAAGTTAGATAGAGTATGTAGTAGAATCAAGCTCTGAAAACTCAGACATTATGAGCGTAGTAGATACGGAAAATTCTGAAAAAGAATCCATGGAAGATTTTATTAAAAAATATTTACTAGAGGAAGATTACAAAGAAGAATTCAAAGAAGATTACACAGAAGATGTTTCGTTTTTTTACAGGCAATCCGAGTAATATAAAAAAAGATGACTGGATATTGGCAAAATTTGCCACAAAAAAAGTTTAAAACATTACGTTGGACAAGTCATAAGCGTTAAAAATGAAATCCCTACAGTGAAATTCTTAAGAAAAATAAAAATGCCAAAGGCAAGAAATTAGCGTTCACGTACCCAAATGTAGAAGACACTTGTGAATGCACTTAAATGACATAATTCTAGTATTGCCTCAACCAAATATTTCGCGGAGGAGTCAGATAATATTTGATATAAATTTAAGTGAATATAATGTGCAATAATTAAAAGTAAATTTTATTGATCTTTATTTATTTAATTAAGCTTTTATTTTTTCGTTATCTTGATGTAGTAAAACAATGCGTTTTGTTGGCTATATCGATAGCTGTTTCTAATTTTGGACGGTTTTGGATTACTTACGGTTCAGGTAGCCAACTGAGTACTTATGTCATAAGATGATAGTTAATTTAATGATTTCTTATATTTACGCGAACACTACACATTGAAATAATACTAGTTTTTACGGAATTTATCGCGTATATTTAACTTTTTAATTACCCGACGTTTTGAACGCTTTACAGCACTCATGGTCACGGGCAGGACTGAGATGTTCAACGTCCATATGTCATACATAGTTAACCGCGGTTACCATAGATTAAAATTTAACTTTTGTTCCGATCTATGCAGTATGAACTTATGGTATCTTGAAGTCTTGCAGTTGTATGCTTGGGTTGGGATTTAATTTTATTTATTATAGGATCCCAAGCAGATGGTAGCACCCAGCCATCTTCTCTATTGAAATTAGGTTGTTTTTTGATTTCAATAGCCTCGCGAATCATCCTTGGAAGGAATCGGTGTTCTTTAGCGAGGATCTGCGGTCTATCAAATCTGATGTAGTGACGGGGGCGATCCTGTACGTGTTCACAGACTGCAGACTTCCCGGAGCGTCGATTCTTCACATCAGCTATATGTTCTTTAACGCGGGTTTTTATTGATCTTTTAGTTTGTCCTATGTAGGAGAGACCACATTCACAATCAAGCTTGTACACTCCTGCATCTTGCAAAGGGACATTACACTTGACCGATGATAAAAACTGACCAATCTTCTTCAGCGGCTTGAAGTATGTTTTGATGGAAGCGCGCTTCAAGATATAGCCAATCTTGTCAGTGACTCCTCTAACATATGGCAGTACAGCAGGTACACGTTCGACTGTGGCCGGCTTCACTCGTTCACTGTGACGTAGGCGCGGGACTCGAAGCTTGTTGTCATGCAAAACTTGCTTGACATGGTGGAGCTCTGCAGCCAGGTGTTTACTGTCACAGATCCCTCGTGCTCTCTGAAACAAAGATTTACCCACGGTAGCTAACTGTGAAGGAGGGTGGTGAGAATCACCGTTTAAATATCTATCTGTATGGGTCTTTTTTCTATACACAGTATGGCTCAAGGTGTTATCAGGATTCCGAGACCTTGAGCCATACTGTGTATAGAAAAAAGAAAATCATAAATCATCGTAGGACTACTTTCAATACAGTTGATGAGGTTTTTAGAGGCGTATTTAAGGGACTTTTTTAGATCACTATATTCTTTAAAGTCAATAAAAGTATGTGATCTCTCTTGTGTCTCAGATACAAAAATTTTTTTACAAATTTCACATTTGTTGAGATTATTTTTTACTATAAACCCACAGACATAGGCACATGCTTGTATTTCGCCACTGCTTTCTTCCAAGCTACATTCAAATGTAGAATTTACACTTTCTTCTAACTCATCGATTAAAATTGTGGCATAAGCAGTGCGTGTGTCTGTGGGTGGAGACAATAAAGTTTTAAAATTTGTCAATATAACTTGATTTATGTCTTCTCAATTCCTGTCCAATAAGATAAGTTGCTAAGGACAGCCGTTTTAAGACCCGCAACAAACTGCCCAACAGTGGGATTTGAATTGCAGCCGCAATTGGCCCGAATGCATCCAAAAAGATTTTCTAACGGGTCCTGCTGGAGCCTTCTTGTTTCCAAACTTTTTATTGATTTGTGTTTAGAATTGAGATTTCTCCAGATTGGTTCTATTCCATTGATGGACCATATCCAACCTTCTTGGGATGGAGGGGCTCATTTGCATCCCAAAAACGTCATTTCTTTAAAAAAATTCTTCATTAAAGTGAAATGTTTGACATGTGGTGTATTATTTGTCATGTTTGTCGAAAATGGTTTCCCCCTTCTTAGGTCTGGTGTGCATGCGTTGACACAATCAAACAGCTTGTCCATATTTGCTGTCCATATTGGCTTAACACTTGTGCAGCTAGCTTCACCTTCATCTTCTGCTTCGTATTTGGATTTAAATGTTCTTGTTTTAAGCAAGGTGCAAACACAAAATTGGGATTGGTGTTATCTGTTTCATAAAACTCCTTTATATGGCTCCATTTAGCAACACCTGTAAAAAACATTTGTGTAAATATCCAGTAAATTGGAAATATGTATAATATTATGATTGTAATAAAACAAAATATCTTACCAAATCCAATTTGATCATTTGATGTTATATTTGTTGGAAATTTAATGTCATATTTTAAAAACATATTTCTAAAGCATTTGAGCAAATGCGGAGTATCAAAAATGGTAACCACTTCTCGATTACTTAACAGAATATATGGCTGTTCTACAGATGCTCCCAAGATACTTAAAGCTCTCTTATTCACACCATCCATATCACACACTGTAGCTGAAATATTAATTCCAACATCAAAACAATGTTGCAGGACCTAGAATGATAAAAGGGTAAATAAATATGGTAAAAAAGTACTACTACATATATTGACATAATAACAAATAAAAGACCATAATGCTCACCTTAGAATAATAATAAGCAATTGGTTGTTTCAGCTTTTTACGGATTCCGCCAATCATGAACACGAGGGCATGTGTTGCCATTTGTGGTGACCTGCCCTGCAATGCATGGTCTTGATAACCCTCAATTATGTCCTCCTTTTTGTTGTAAAACAAATTCTTTTTTATCTACATCTCATCAAACATAAGGATATACTCATTGTCTGAGGGAGTCTGTTGCTTTATTGTTTTTTTTTTTCAAAACATTAAAAATTTGGTCATTAATACCAACTTTCATGTGAAACTTGCTTAATAAAGCTTTTAATGAACTAGGTGTTGGCAGGCAAATCATCCTTCTTAATAATTTGTAACACCTAGGTGACCTTTTATACAGTCTTAGTGCTATTATTTTGGAGTCCATGTTCCATCTTCGACCTTTTGATTTTTTTTATAGTTTTGCAATTCTCCTTGCAAAAATAATGCAAAAGAGGGGGATATTTTACATTTTAATATTTCATTTACTGAATCATTTTTGCTCAATACTTTGAGAAATGCTTCATTCTTTAGATGCTTTACAGTTTTTTGAAGCCTGTTAATTTTTCTCAGATGATATTTCATTTTTATCAACATATCTTTATCCTTTTTGTTTTTCGTGGATGGATTTGCAGCAGGTAGTGCTAATTAATGACATGAAAATGTTGACTTATTATTTTTTAATGCAGTCAATAACAATAATATAACGAAAATAATTTCTACAAATGTAATATTATTGGTGGCATCTATAATATAATCAGGTTATTGGAGTTTAGACATAATATTGCAAAGCTATTGCCTTGTTTGTAGAATGTGAAGGTAAATAATGTTTTCTTGTTAGAAAAAAGTGTTTATATTAGATTGTCTAATCTTTTTTATATAAAACCAGTGTAACTTTACTTTCCATTTTGCTTAAATGTCATGTTACATATGCCGTTTACTTAATAGGTGAAGTGATGAACTAATTAGCTATAAACTAATAATCATTGACACGTGTTTTAGCGAAGTTACGTGAATGCTTATTTCCTATACTTCGCTTAAACACGCGTACCTCTTAAAAATAGACTATTCTGTTTTACATAACTACTTAACTAATAAATCGATATTTAGTTAAGAGCTGTTGAGAACTGTTTACATGCATAAAGTTAAAAATTAGTTAATTACTACGTCACTTACGTCCTCAATGTACCAACGGTTTTTCTATGTACCAATGTGGACAAGTATGTAATGTAAATAAAAATTATGTATTTCAAAAACCACTTTTATTTGAACAATAGTTCCTTTTTTTATATATTATTTTATATAATGATTGCTAATCGTTTCAAAAGTGGTTTATGAATGTAAAGTACCATAATTTACAAATAACTTTGTGCTTTTGTTTTCGTTTTAATTTAGCAATATATATCATTGAAACGAAAAACTACAAGCTGTATCTATCTATATGGTATTTTACATTCTTAAGCCATTTTTGAAACGAAACAACCAAGACGCCAACTAAAAAAAAATCACGTTTCAAAATTCCCGCGCAAAAAAGTTTTAGTGGGGCACGACAGAGATGGCGTGCATTATGGGTGCCATTTTCTTTGTTTGAAGTTGACATTCTTCCCGCCTAAGGGTATTAGTGTTCTGTGGTCCTGCCCGTGACCATGAGTGCTGTAAAGCGTTCGAAACGTCGGGTAATTAAAAAGTTAAATATACGC